CCCCCCCCCCCCCCCCGTACCTGGCAATAGTGACTTAGTTTTACTGGAAAAAGAAATTTGGAGTTGAAAAGCCTGTCTTGGAAATTCATTTAGTTGAGACAGCCACTTTGGTTAAAATAATTGGTCAGTTCAAAAGGACCCATAAACTACCCACCAATGTCCAAGTACTATTATTAATATATATCATTATTATTAGGTAGTTGTATACAGGGGCTACAGTTCCATAGATCAGGGTGTGAGTACAATGCCTGTTGACAATGTCACCCCTTCTTCGCTCTCCCCCATTCTCCTCCTCCTGTAAAAGTCTATACATTAGTTAGTGGGTTATTTCAAATGTGTGCTGTGCATCCATGCAGCACTTACTATAAACTGGTTTGGATGACAGATCTGAATTTAAAGTATTTACTACCAGTCAGGGTCTGGTGGCTCACACCTGTCATCCTAGCTTTTCAGGAGGTGGTTCAAAGCCAGCCCAGACTGGGAAATCCATGCGACTTTCACCTCCAATGAAACAACATAAAAGCCAGAAGCAGAGCTGTGGCCCAAACTGGTAGATCCCCCTAGCCTTGAGCAAAAGAGCGCAGGAATGGTGCCCAGACCCTGAGTTCAAGCCCCAGGACTGATGCCAAAAACTAAAAATAAAATATCAGCAATCATATTCTGTAGATGACTGGGTGTGGCGATGGGTTTTACTCTGATTGGATTTGATTTTTTTCCTCAGGGCAGTGGATGGCTTGTGGAAAGGCATTGAGATGCCGGAAGAGTGTGTGTGGTGGTTTTTTTTTTTTTTTTCTGAACACCTGCAGGAAAGTATTCCCTTTCTATTCTTGACTCAGTTACTAGAACTGTGATCCATCGGTTGTGTTTCAGGTTGAGGTGAGGCTGGGTTTTTGTCAATGAATGAGGGAATGAATGAGTTGCCTCTTGAGGGCTGAGAATTTCTGCTGTTGGTCCAGTTACTCTGTCCTGAGATACATTGGCATCCATGTTATTTGATAGTATTGTAAATAAGAGTAGGTTATATAGATATAGCTATATAATAGAGACCCACATCCCCCACACTTGAGGTTTTACTTTCAAAAGAAAAGCCCCTCTAGCTCTTACAGCTATGTTTTGTTACCTCACCCCACAGATTTTTGTCCTAC